GGATCTTTAGTCCCGGTTGATATTATCAACCGGGAGTAAAGATCCCTGGGATCTTTAGTCCCAGTTGGTAACACCAACCGGGACTAAAGATGTCCCGGTTGGTGTTACCAATCGGGACTAAAGATCCAGGGATCTTTAGTCCCGGTTGGTAACACCAACCAGGACTAAAGATGATCTTTACTCCCGGTTGATAATATCAACCGGGAATAAAGCGTACGCACCAGCCCACGCACAAGCGCATGCATAGCCCATCCTTATCTCTTTTTCTTCTCCTTCCTTATCTTCATCCTCTCCCCTTCCTCTTCTCTCACCCCCTCTCCTCCTCCCCTCCCCCTCTTCCTCTTGCAGAGGCAGCCGACGGCGGCGGGATGGGGGATGGGCGCGGGCTGGCAGCGGCCGGCCGGCGGTGGCGGGATGGAGGCGGCCGGGCGCGGGCTGGCGGCAGCCAGGTGCGGGCTGGGGCTGGCGGCGGCCGGCTGGCGGCGGCGGGATTGCGGCCGGGCGCGGGCCAGCGGGATGGAGGACGGGCGGCGGCGGCCCGGCGTGGGCCGGCGGGATGGAGGCCGGTCGCCGGCAGCCTCGCCCTCCCCTCCTCCAGATCCGGCCAGAGGGGAAGCGGCGGGATGGAGGACGGCCGGCGGCGGCCCGGCGCGGGCCGGCGGGATGGAGGCCGGTCGCCGGCGGCCTCGCCCTCCCCTCCCCCAGATCCGGCCGGAGGGGAAGCGGCGAGATGGGTGGCCGGCCGACGGCGGGATGGGAGGCCGGCCAGTGAGTCGATTTTTTTTTTTGATTTTTTTTAATTTGTGGTTTGGATGTTTTGATCTGTGAATGAATCTATGAATCGATATTGTGAATGAATCTGTGATGTTGTGAATGAGTATGTGACTCGATGTTGTCAATGAACCTTTGAATCAATATTGTGAATATATTTGTGATGTTGTGAATGAATATGTGAATGGATATTGTGAATGAATTTGTGGTGAATCTGTGAATCGTGCTGTGGAGTTGTGATGTGGATTTGGGGTTTGATTTGATGATATGCATACCACTCGATTCGGGAGAAAATAAAAAAGAAAAAAGGACTAGCTGATGGACTGCCGCTACCCTCTCTTTAGTCCCGGTTGATGACACCAACCGGGACTAAATCTTTAGTCCCGGTTGGTGTCATCAACCGGGACTAAAGATCGATCTTTAGTCCCGGTTTTTTCACCCGGGACTAAAGATAGCGATCTTTAGTCCCGGATTGGTAGTCCCGGTTTGAAAACCGGGACTATAGGGGGGTTACGAACCGGGACTAAAAAGCACTTCTCCACCAGTGTCCTCGATCCTGACAACCTCATCAACAAGATTATACCCAAAATTTGTAGCGTTTTCAAGATCCGAGATGGCACGAGGGGGCCAGCTTTGCAAATGCACATCTCGAAGAGGAAGAGGGGAAAAAGTCCTTTCATGTACTTGTGCATCGATATGCCTACTACAGCTGGTAATTATATTTGTTTATGGTGGCTGGTCAAAATTTAGCTACTGATGAAGTAAACAAATTACGCCAACTTGGAGAATATTTGGCGAGCGTGAAATGGACTATGAATTTGTTAACCCAGCCTGTTGATGTTATCATACGATATCCTGTGATCAGTTTGCAACAATTTGCCTCTGGCTTGGGTTAGTTGATGAGAACAAAATACAATAAGCAACATGCCAGTTTGGTCAACTTGTTTGCGTAGTTATATGTGTCTCATGGGAGGAAACCAAAAGTACGTGCGTGCATGTGCGTGGTGGCAGCAGTCTACTACTCCCTCCGTCCCACAATATAAGAGATTTTAGGTTTTTACTCGTAACGTTTGACCACTTGTCTTATTTAAATTTTTTTTGCAAATATAAAAAACGAAAAGTTGTGCTTAAGATACTGTAGATAATAAAGTAAGTCACAAATAAAATAAATAATAATTTTAAAATTTTTTAAATAAGACGAGTGGTCAAACGATACAAGTAAAAACTCAAAATCCCTTATATCATGGGACGGAGGGAGTACTAGCTAGTAGCAGTGTAATTTTGAAGCTTCGGTTTTCTAAATAACAGAGATAAAGATAAAGAGTTGACTTATTAGCTCTGCAAGATTGATTGCGTTGAAGTAGTACTCCCTTAGTCCCATGATATATAAGATTTTGACTTTTTGATTGTACTGTTTTACCACTCGTCTTATTAAAAAAAATTGTGCAAATATAAAAAACAAAAATTTGTGCTTAAAGTAGTTTCGATAATAAAGTAAGTCACAAATAAAGAAAATAATAATTTTAAATTTTTTTGAATAAGACGAATGGTTAAACAGTGTAAGCAAAAAGTTAAAATCTTTGTATTATGGTACGGAGGGAGTACTCTCTTACGGTTTCTATGGTCAACTACTACCTATCAGTTTCTTTGAACCTTCAAATTAAAATGAGGAGAGTTTTAACGCTTAGAAGCAAACCTAGGATTGGGCTAGCTTGTGCCTATATGGCTCTATTGGGCTGCATTTCACTTTTAGGTCAAATTTCGTAGTATATCCTCATGGGCTTTTAGTCTCAAGCCTGAAGTGCCCTGTTCTGTTTTCAACTTTAAACTTCAACTTTCTCGTTGTTTGTTAGCACGTTTTTTAAATGGTAAAACGATGTTTTTAAGTAATTTATATAAAAGTAATTTAAAAAATTAAATAAATCAAAATTTCAAGTTTATAATAGTTACTACATCCGTTTCATATTATAAGACTTTTTAGCGTTGCCCACATTCATATAGATGTTAATGAATCTAGGCAAATCTAGGCATATATATATATATAGTAACTATATAATATGAAACGGATGTAGTAACTATTGTAAACTTGAAATTTTGATTTATTTAATTTTTTAAATTACTTTACTTTTTAGCGTTGCCCACATTCATATAGATGCTAATGAATCTAGGCAAATCTAGACATATATATATATATATATATATATATATATATATATATTCATTAACATATATATGAATATGAGACATGCTAAAAAGTTTTATAATATGAAACAGAGGAAGTAATATTTAATTGATCATGTGTTAATAAGCTTTCTCATTTTCACGTATGCTAAAAGTCCCCCTCCAACATCTCTAAACGAAAGCAGCTAGTCATCCTTATATATCTATCAATTGTGGGCTTGATCGCCTATGCTTTTTTGCACCAGCTGTTGCTGCGGCTATGCAGCCACACCCATCTCTCTCGAGCATCTCCTATAACGAGTGTACTATAGAATAGAAATTTAGATTTAGGAAAAAAATACGAATTACCCCCTGAACTATCGTGGTCGGCCGAATTACCCCTCTAAACCTGAAAACCAGATATCACTCACCCTGAATTTTTAATACCAGTCGAATTACCCCTCAACACAATCCAAAGCGGTTTTGTCCTACGTGGTGTACGCGTGGCAACCCAATCAACATTTTCTTTTTTCTTAAACATGGTAGGACCCACCCGTCATACCCTCTCACCTCTTCCTTTTCCTCTTCTCCTCTTCCTCTCTCTCTCTGGCATCATTAGGCGCGGCCGCAGGTCGAGCAGTGTGGGCGGTCGGCGCGCAGGGGACGGGACGTTGGCTGCCATAGCCACGGCCAAGGCTGAGGCGGAGAAGGCCGAAGGGAGTAAGTGGGGGTGGAGGTGGCGGCGCGGACGACCGCTTGGGCTTCACCAGCGAAGGTGGCTTCTCCCCTGCCGCCTGCTCCGACTTCCCCACCACGCCATCGCCTCCGCGTGGGCTGCAGATGCTGATGCCGACACCGACCTGGCCACGCTCGAGCGGCGTCGGGAACAGGACGCGGAGGAGGAGGAGAGGCAGACGCGAGAGGAGACAGCCACGGAGGAGGAGGCCGTTCTCGTGTCAGCTGTGCCCGCCATAGCACCCTCCCGTGTGCCCACCGCGCTCACCTTGCGCACCTAGTCACGGCCCCCGCCGCGCTCGCCTCGCCCTCCTAGCCCACCACCGCTCGCCTCTTCCCCTCTTCCCCCCTCTCTCTTTTCTCTCTATCTCTCTCTCTTTCTCGGCGGCCCGCGTGGGTGGACGGTGGGCGGTAGCGCGAAACGGCGGAGCTAGGTGGCGAGTGGCAGCGCGCACGCCTGGGTCGCTTTGGCCGGCGATGGGTGGAGGTGGAGCTCGGGCGGCGGAGGAGGTGCCCGCAGCCATCAGAGGTTGGGTAGGTGGAGGGCGCGACAGTGATAGGCGAGCTGCACCTCTACAACTTGCAGCCCTGTCAGCCTCCTCCACCGTCACCCGCCGCTCGGTCCACCTCTGCCGCCACCACCAGCCGCCCGGGCGTCTCCACCTCCACCGCCACAGCTAGCCGCCTGAGCGCTTGAGAGAGAGAGAGAGAGAGAGAGAGATTAGGGAGGAACCATAGTTCATCGTCTTCGACCGGTACAGTGTGGAAGAGTCCGAGGAGAGAATAATAACCTTGATGTTCCCCACCGCCGCACTTGCCTCGCCCGTCCTCGTCGCGCTCCCCTCGCCCACCCAGCCGCGCCCGCTTCCGTGTGCCATCGTCCACCGCCCGTCCTCGCACGCCCCGCCGTCCGCCGCCCATCCCCGCCTAGAGCGAGGTCCACCTCCGCCGTCGGCCGCTGGAGTGAGGTCCACTTGCGTTGTAGGCCGCCGGAACATGGTACACCTCCGCCGCCAGTCGCCCGAGAGAGAGAGAGAGAGAGAGGGCGCTGGGGATGGGAAGAGATTTGGTTGAGGCTAAGAGATGACAGGTGGGCCTGAATACTTTTTTATTTTTATCTGCTGACTGGATTGGCACATTGGCGCCACGTGTACAAGCTTAAGTCGAAACCACTCAAAATAATGCTCAGGGGGGTAATTTGTCCGGTATGAATACTTGAAGGTGTAAAATGCCCGATTTTGTGGTTCCATGGAGTAATTCGATCGATTGTTATAGTTAGGGGGGATAATTCGTACTTTTCCTTTAGATTTACATACACAAATGAGTACAGCAGCTAGATGATAAATAACTCGATCTTACTGGATAATATCTTATTACATGCTAGTACGTAACATTATCTTACATTGTGCATGGTGTATTATATGGATCATATAACATTAATTGTGGCACACCCAGCCCATCATGATCAAAGAAAAAAAATTCCAAACTAAAAATCCTTAGCTTCAATTCCTGGCACACTAGTAACATGACAACACTATATATTCCATAAATTTCTAGTACAAAAGCATCTAATTAACCAACGTTAACCGGAGCAATGTCCTCAGCTGCGTATAACCCGTTGCCATCGTTAGCCGGCGCTTGCGAGCAGCCCGCCGTCGCCATATCCTCCACCGGCGGCTGCTGGTCATGGATGCCGGGCATCAATAGCGGTGATGACGCCAACATCGGGCCCATCGTATCCTGCACTCCACACACAACAGTTTAGAGTTGTGTGTGTAAAATAAAGAAAAGAAACAATCTCATGATAATTCATTAAAAAAAAGTTCAGCGTCGTCAGTCATCGCATCAAAAATATGTTGGAGTGGATTATTGGTGCATATTAACAGAAACAATATAGAATGTAGAATGGTATACCGTTCCAATGAAATAGATGATGTCAACATAATACCTAAATACCAGATCTGGAACCTACTGAATATAATGTTTAATACGATATGTACTAGGTTCGATGTATATCGTATTGACGTCAGCAAGATACATAACTATCATATTTGGTACCTACGAGATATCATGCCTGGTACCCGAAAGTACTAGATAATATCTACGGTACTATACTGACATCAACATGATATATAGTTATCAAATCTGTTAACTACATGGTATCATGTATGTTACCGGAGGTACCAGATCCAATATCTACGTTATCATGCTGACGTCAGCTATTCTATTTATGACATCACCTCGTCGTCGAGAGGGAACGGCGTGGGCGGGATTAGCGCGTTGAGGAACTCCGCCGACGTGTACGCCTGCCAGTCGTCACTCTGGTTCTGCTGGTCCACATGGCACATCCCCATCTCCGGGACCACTGTCTGATCCACACATGCATCTTGTCTCATCGTGTCGTACACCGCTTGATCTCTGACCATGAAGAAAAAAAAATTTAAGCTCACATAAATAGAGTACAGGTACATTCTATTCTAGTTTTTAAAAGCTTGTTATCTACTATCTTTCTTACCTAAAAGACATCATGGAATCTGAAGTTCCGGCGAATATCGACGCCACCGACGAGGTTGTCGGCGGCATCCCCTCAGAGACCCACGAGGCCACCTCATCGCTTCCAAACCCATTATCAGTGATGTCCCCGTGCTGATGCTGCTGCGGTAGATACAGCTGCACACGCACATGTGATAATTTATAATAAGGTGTGATCAGCATAATTAATTTGTCTATGAATATTTTACACATTGTTTATGACGTAATACAAAACGAGAGATAGTGATGGAGCTAGTTAGGTTAATATATTAAAAAATCAACTTGTCGATTGGCGTTTCCTCTATTAGCCTATGTGTATGGCCTTTAAGAATCTAGATATGGATCCAAGACCGGTATTTTTTTTATCATAATTGTAACGTTTTCTAAAAGTTAAAAGATATACATATTATTTATTTTATAGTATAAGCAGAAAATATATATATTTAGAAAATGATTATCAGGGTTATAGTCTTCGACTCAATCTTAAAAAGAGCAAAATTGTTTCTGTCATTTATTTTTTTCTATTTATCCTTTTTAGTTTCTCGTAATACAAGTGGTCACGATACTTGTCCCGAATAATTTGCAAAGAATTTTACAAAAAAAATATTTTTTCGTCTTTTTATTTTTTTTCCTTTTCCCCTCTTTTATGTGTTTGCACTAGTTTGATCATGCACGGTTGGATTATGGTGCAGCATGGCGTAGCTACGCACATGCAGTGGAACTTCTTCTCTCTTTTTTTTAATTCACCGTCGTAACGTGCTTTGCTAGTTTTATAGAGAGGGTTTCTTACCCGCGCTCTTTCTACCGCTTGTATCTCGCCACGTGTTGCTCAACTAAAGGATTATGAGGGGTTTCTTACCCGCGCTCTTTCTACCGCTTGTATCTCGCCACGTGTTGCTTAACTAAAGGATTATGAGGGCAACGAATTAGCTAGCATGAAACCAACCAGCATGAGATACATAGATATATTGCAATGGGAAAAACATTTTGGGAAACCTCTGGAATCTGGATGATGTGTTTTTGGTTGCTCCTTGGTAATTTATTTTTGTTATGGATATATATTCTCTACATTTATCTCAAAGAGGATAGATAATTGGGAAGTCTCCAGAAATTAGATTTGTGTCTTTTTCTTTCTTTTTGGCTATTTTTTCTTATGCATATTTTTTTAGATTTATCTTGAAATTTAACATCGCCACGTGGCCAATAAGATAGCTTACACGAGCCAACTATAGAAAGATAGATTTGCGTACATGCTGCATGGCAGATGTTGACGCCGTCACGTCGAACGAGCCCATGCTGCACAGCAAATACCTCTGCAAAACATGTGTGACAACAGAAACGCAGTTAGTTAGCAGACGAAAAAAAATCTGGATCATTTCTATTACCTGAAAATTAAGCTAGACGATCACTGTAAAAATCGTCATTATTTGAAGATCATGTCATTAATCCTATTATCTGATGTGATCATTCCTCGGATATCACTCTCGGCCACTAATTACAGCGCCATTAATCGAGTGATCAAATTAACACTTGTGCTCACCTTCCTCTCCTCGACGCGGCTGAGGATGCCGGCGATGAACTTCTCGCTGGCCTCGACGTCCTCCATGGATGCAGACCTGGCCGGGTCCGGCTCAAACATCCTGAAACCCAACGCCAGAAAAAACCATTGCAACTAGCATGGATCGCAAGTTAATTAATCGAGAGAATGAGACGATATTCATATATTGTATTGATATTACTGCACCTCAATTGCTCCTCTGTGAGCTGCATCTGGTGCTGGCATCTCCTGATCTCTTGCTGAAGCTCCTGAGTGAGAGTCAGTGATCGGTTCAGTTTCAGAGCGTTGGGTTCAGAGATTTTTTCAGAGCTCAATTGACAGTGGTGTTCATGTGCGAGAAATGTTAATTACCTCAATGTTGGAGTTAACCGGCGCCTTACTGCTCCTGGATCAGCAAGAGCACCGAGATTAAGAACAAACACGAGGAAGAGTGCTAGGTTCAGGTTAAAATCTCGTTGTGAAACTGAAGCATAATGCAGATCGTTTGATTAAGAATGAATCGCGATCGAGCTAGCTCTACGTACGTGTTAGTGAGATCCTCGGTGACGTCGCTCTCGCATTTGAGCTGGGTGAGCATGTTGATCAAATACTGCATCGATGAACACGTTGATGATGAGAGAAATTATATAGCAAAAACGATGTAGAAAAAAAAAAGAAAAGTTAAGGCAAGAGAACCCTCACCTCTCTGTTTTGGATAGTTCTGCATGCGATAGGAATAATTGGCAAACGGTTTCTTGATCAATATTAACAACTTCCTCACGAGTAAAACGGTAATAATGCATCAAATGAAAAAAAATAAAAAGAAGAACCTTTTCCGTCGAAGAAGTTTACGTACCCTCCTCTGTCACTTTCTGGGAGATTGATGTACCTTGTGAGCACGTCCTCGATCCTACAAAGTCGCAAAAAATTACATGACTATATATGATCAAATTTGCATGCTCGAAGTCGAATGCATGCATGTGGTTAATTAATTTGATTTGATTTGATTTAAACTTAATTAATTTACCTGCGGCGGCCGGAGAAGTGGCTGAGGCGGCCGGAGGGGGAGAACATGAGGAGGGCGATGTCGATGTCGCAGAGGACGGACAGCTCGTAGGCCTTCTTGATCAGCCCGTTTCGCCGCTTGGAGAACGTCACCTGCCTGTTCGGGATGTTCTCGATCCTCTTGATCTGCAGCTTCACCCGTCCCATGGCCGCCGCCGGCGATTCAGCTCGATCTACAGCTATGTTCCGGCCGTCGTCCGTCGATCGATCGGCGAGGCGAGGCGATGGGGGAGGATATGGTTTTGTACGGTTTATGTAGCGTGGCTGGCAAATCGATGTAGCGAGTGAAAGGCGAGGAGGTTTTGTCGGGTTGGGGGGCCACTCGCGATCGGCTGGCTGGAGTGGACGGACCGCGTCCATGGCGGCGCCGCGCCGGATCGAATTCACGGTCACTGCGACGTGCGTCCATGCACTCGATCGGCTTTGCTTTCTGCATGGCGCGCGTGCCAAGTCGCCAAACCAACCGAGTAACCGACGCGACGCGACGCCGCACGAGAGCTCAACGACGCGGCGGGCGGAGGCTGCTGCTGCTCCTCCGTTGGTCGTATCGCTAAACCGTAAAACCGGGTATAACGCCTTCTTATCAACTTTAAATACGGGTGTAAATCAACTTCTTACGTGGCTTGGAAATTGGTTTCAGATGACGTGATAAGTGAACCGTGGTCAAACTTGCTGGGTCAGTATGGGCTATGTGAGGTTATTTGGCGTGACGGCATTTGCGCTTTAGCTGACAACAACATATGCGTTCTACGTGTTGGGGCCACATGTGTTGGTGTTGCACATTAATTTGTCACTAGTGTTAGAATTATCAGAGCTTAATTAACCCCATTTGATCGAGTTTAATTAGCTCCATGCCATATTCGTTCGTCCATTAATAGTACTCTACACTCTTGTTTTGGCCTTAGCATGTAGTAGCAAGCATCACGTGTTCATCGAGTACCTGTCTGGCTGCAAGCTAAGCAGCAGCTATTTATAATGGAGATAGGAAAGAAACTTAGCTAGCTACCTGTTTTGTCTCCTCATTTTCCTCGCTGCTCCCGGGATCACCACCTCGCCGTGCTCGAGGTCTCTCCGACTTGGTTTCGCCTCGCCGGCTCCTTTCTTCCTTGCTAGCCACGGATCCATTGATTCTTAGTTTGCAGGGTGTTCTTGGCTCGTGGACTAATTCTAAAATTTCTCCTTTGTTTGCAATAAAAATTAACTGAAGAATTGCTCAACCTTGTCAGTAAATTGTGTTCTGAGATTGTAATGGCTGCGGCAACATCTCACAGCGCCATTGTGCACACCCAATCTCACCGGTGGAGACCCAATCAGGCAGCAATTTGGTTTTGGTTTTGTTTGTGCATCGAGGTCTTCGGTGGTGGAGCCGGTTCAGCTACACTCCAATGGCAACAGTGATCACACCCCCAAGAAATCAAGTAATTTGCACTCTTTTCTTTTGAATAAACTAGCATAAATGCAGTGATTCACTAGTTTTGTTTCGTTACATAGATATGTAGTTTTATATAGTTGGTCTCATTGTTTTCTTGCAGGTGAAAGTTCCCTCATATTGATAAGGCATGGAGAATCATTGTGGAATGAGAAAAACCTGTTCACTGGCTGCGTCGATGTGCCCCTGACACCCAAGGGCGTCGAGGAGGCTATCGAGGCAGGAAAACGGATTTGCAGTATCCCGATCGATGTGATATTTACCTCTTCGCTAATTCGTGCTCAGATGACTGCAATGCTTGCGATGATGCAGCATCGGAGGAAGAAGGTTGTGCATCTTGCTGCTGCTAAATGTTTCTGTAATCATCATGTTCTGTTCTGTAAATCTACTGTCCTAAACAGTTATGTTGGATTATGAAACTATGTACTTACAGGTTCCAATCATTGTTCACAATGAGAGTGAGCAAGCACACCTGTGAAGTCAGGTGTACAGTGAAGAGACAAGGAAACAGTCTATTCCTGTCATAACAGCTTGGCAACTGAATGAACGAATGTAGGAATTTCTCCCCCTTTTTTGATTTATGTTCTTCTAGTACCTAGATAATATTGTAATTCTTTTACCTAAAAAAAAGATAAAATTGTAATTCCGTGGGACTTTCTAGGTATGGTGAGCTGCAAGGCCTTAATAAGCAGGAAACTGCAGACAGGTTTGGCAATGAACAAGTTCATAAATGGCGTCGTAGTTATGATATTCCACCCCCAAATGGTGAAAGTCTAGAGATGTGTGCAGAGAGAGCTGTTGCTTATTTCAAGGAACATGTAAGGATATGTCGACACTAACATGAACAATTATTAACCTTTATTCTTCTATGTTTATGTATGACGATGTTACAAAAATATCAAAATTTTCCATGTTTTTTTTTCAAAAATTTGTCATAGAATTTGCAACTGTTCTTGTAGTTTCCATCTGACCTGTAAGTAGTTGTTTGTTGCCACATAGGTTGTTCCTCAACTCACAGCTGGAAAGCATGTGATGATTGCTGCACATGGGAATTCACTCCGTTCAATTATAATGCAGCTTGACAAATTGACATCTCAAGAGGTGATATATTCTTCTGCAATTGTAATTTCATTTCATCCTCTTCCTTTTATTTTTTTTTCTTCTCTGCATGCTGTTGTTTTGACTGAAAAATCCTCTCTTCAGGTAATCAGCCTTGAGTTGTCAACAGGCATTCCTATGCTTTACATTTTCAAGGAAGGGAAGTTCATTAGACGGGGAAGCCCAGTAGGACCTTCTGAGGCAAGCGTTTGTGCCTATACCAGGGTAAGAGTCTTCTCCAATTTATAACTTAGAGAATCTTGAGAAAATACATTGTTTTTTTTTTTGCGGGGGAGAAAATACATTGTTGATTCCCAACTTAGTGATGCTTGAGAAAATGAATTGTTGATTTCCAACTTAGAGATTCTTTTGAAAATAAATTTTTGATCTGAAGTACAAGTCAGATGTCAAAAGAAAATGACAAGTACAGAGGGGTGTAGAGCTGTCCTGTTAGTTGGAATCTGAATTTTCTCATGTTCATGAACTCGTATTAGATGATTTCATTATTTCAATCGTACACCAAGTTCATCATAACATTGGCTCAATTATTCACATATATATAACACTGGTTCTAATATAATTGTATGAGTTGGGATTGTCATTTTGGTCCACATTGGTTGTGAGTTTGAAGAAGCAGACTGCATGAACCACGCAACAACCTGTACTTATATTAGATTCAGCTGATAAAGTTGGTACTATACATAATATGTTTACAAAGCTATTTTTTTAATGATAACAACCTTCGTTTTGAAATCACTCGTGGTTACCTTCTGACTATCTGATGGTCTTTGTTATTTTCTGGGATGTGCATTTTCTTGTTTGCAGAAATTGGCTCAGTACAGACAGAAGCTAGATAGCATGGTCTAGTAAAAGGTCAGTAAGTTAATAATGCAAGCTTCAGCTCCCATCGAATCAATGTTCCAATATGGTTAGGCGACAAGAGAAACGTCCAGCGTCTTCCGGCTTGCTCCAAAAGGTGGTGGACTAGCCGATCTGAGATTGAAGTCTCACCCATTATATTTATTTAATATTAGGTCATTCTCTAATATTGTGTTTTTTTTAGGCGACAAACATGTATTTTTCCATTTTATTCCTCTTCAGGATTTATATTGTATAGTGATTAGTGACTCAAACATTTGTCGAATTCATCTTTGTTTTTCTGACAAATGGTTGAGGAAGCTTTCACTTACGTATTATCTGAGGTCTGAGGGCTGCGATTATGTACAATGGGGAAGCTCAAAATGTGATAACTTGTTTAACAATGAAATCGATGTAAAAGATCTAGTATGCGAAAAATGAAGTCATGATGATATACAATATATTTTCTGCTTTTTTGGAAGACGATTTTACCGATGTAGCGCTTTGACTTGGTCCAACCCGCTAAATCATCCTGTGAGACCCACCTGTCAGTGATCAACCGACCCTTCTCTACCTTCCTTTACCCCTCCTAGTTTTGTTTGGTAGGCCATCCATCCGTGGCGTCCGACGAGTAAGGCAGCGACGAGTTCTTTCGTCCAGCTGCTCGCTTGCTCTTGGTCTGTTTTCCCCTTCCTTCGTAGATTTGTGCTGTTCTAGTCCTCGTCTACACCTCTATATGACCTGCTAATCAAACACCCCATATAATCCTCATCATTAGCAAAATATAATTCACAATTTACATTACCCACAAATATGACCGTGGCCGTCACGTCAGACTAAAAAAAATATATGAGATTTTAGAGGGAGAGACGCCTCTCCAAACCCTTTTTTTGGAAGAGATTGTGAGCATATTGAGAATTGAACACGGGACTTTAAAATTGAAGTTACACACCCCTTGTCACTGTACTATCAAGTACATCTCATTGATCACGAGCCTGCACCCCTTGTGGCCGTTGCATCAGACTCATCTTCCTTGCTCATCTGCTCGAGCCTGTGAAGAAGTAGATGACACAACGTTAAACATGCAAGGAACTAGCAAATCTAAGAACTCAAGCAAAATTGGTACTAGGTGAGCGTCGACGGTGACGAAGGTGTGTTGGATCGAGTCCATGATGGCCTCGATCAAGGTTCTTGGTGCTTAGCACCACGCTGCTGTCCAACGCCACCGCGCATTCCTTGTACGTTCAGCTCGATCGTCCCTACACGCAGCGCCGAGATGAGGCTAGCGAAAATCGGCCATGCCGAATCCTGGTGAAAGGTACAGCAGGAGAAGGAGCCGGGGGGGGGGGGGGGGGGGGGGGGATGATCGGTGTGGGTGGGTGTAGCCGGCCTGGATCGCGCTCCGGAGGCGGAGCTGCTCGAAGTAGAGCACCTGTACATCCAACTGCACGGGCAGCCTTTCGTTTTGTGCCGCGTGCAAATACTGTACCGTTGCCCTGCTGACGGTTGGGCCCGATGGGATGATTTAGCGGGTTGGACCAAATCAAAGCGTCATGTCAGTAAAATCATCTTTCAAAATAGTCTTGTGATGCAAATTACATCGGTTTTATAATAGTTTAGGGGTCAAAATATCCATTATTGTGATTCAAGGAAATTAATCAAATTTGGCCTATACATGAGGAGGTCAAGGTGGACTTATTCCTTGTGAATTTGGGCGAAATTCAGCCGAAGAGCATACACCACAAGCTCATCTTCGGCTCGTCTTGGAAAGCCCGTGTCTTTTATTTCAGCCCATGGAGTATACACCACGTTTCAGTGGCAGTGGTAAAAATCGTCTAAAGGCTAATTCGGCCTGTTAGTTGTAGAACACGGGGCTAAGGACAGTGTCACACCCCAATCTGATACCGCCGTAAAACGGCACCTGACAGGAGCGTGTCGTAGGGAAAACGGCGCGAACCGCTTCCTACGAAACCGCGATCTCGGTACCAGTCCCAGGACATAGTGCTGGTACCCACGGTGACAAATATGAATCATAGCAATCCTTAAAATAAATAGAAGACTTATTTACCTTAACTTAGGTTGCAGCTCAGACAGCCCGAGAATACAACCGACGACGCGGCCGAGGAAACACCAACAGCAGCAGCAGCAGCGGAATCAACGGTCTAACACCCAACACCACAGGCGACGGCTGGGAACCAGGACGAAACCCTAATCTTCACTTCACTTTATCTTCTCTTCAGGGCGGAGGAACTATATATATATTTATAGAGCAAGGGTGAGTACTTTCGTACTCAGCAAGTCACGGGAACTTAGGTGTTTAATGCTAGCTTGGAAGAGAGGTAAGGTTGTTTTGCAAATCTTTTGTTTGAAATCATTTTGAAATCACTAAGTGATTTATTTCTTTCTATGTTTGGGCGAAAAGAGACTTGCGTCTCGATTCGACTTTAAGAGATGCTTTTCAACAGCTCATTTAGCAATGTACCGACCTCCCGGGTCAGATCATTACTTCTCGGCTCCCAGAGCCATTCCACTTGATTAATCGGCTCCCAGAGCCTTTTTCATTTTCTCGGACTCCCAGAGCCCAGCTGCCCAGCAGCACAACAATCCGCTTCCACTCGGGAAGCCTAGTCTATGATGCCCGCAGACATCCCGAATCACACAGATTCGTTTCTGACCACTCAGGTCGTCCATCTGCCACATAGGCTGATTCTGGTTACGATTCCCACACCACAACAACTTTTCACAAAGCACAGGCAAACAAATCTACGCAACGGGAACCACCTCACATCCGCCCATGACCGTGGGCACGGCTGTTCGAACAGTTAGTTAACCTCTGCAGAGGGGTACACTTTACCCACAAGATACGAACTTATTCCGAACACCCGTCGGTATCGGAGGTTCGCAACAAAGCCTTTCCCAAGCCGACCCAGGGTTACCTCATGCCACATAGAAGGATCAAATCCTCACATAAACATAGGCCTTTTTAGGCGTGCACAAATCAAACTCCAACCACCTTGATCGGTAAGTGAGCAAGCTTCTCGTCCTTGCCTTACCAGGAACCCGGTTTGTCCGACCCCGCCCCGGCGTTCCCAACTATTGGCATGCGAGGTTTCCCTGAACCGACTAGTTACTTAGCCAGGGTGTCCCATTCCACCTTGTGGTTGCACTTTGATTATGTTCGATGAGTTTTCCACAGGAATCGGTCCTTATATGCGAATACGGGACAGTGCCACATAGGCACAACCCCCGCATCGCGAGTTTTCACAATTCATTTTATTTTCAAACACACCGACACCACGTGTCGGGTTTTTGAAGGCTTCACAAACCCATTTCCCAAGTTTTCGACAAACAACGGTGTATGTGGGATATTTAGTATACGCGCTCAGAGAGCACGAATACCAAGGTACCACAAGGGTGGAGCGACAAGGAAACAGGGTAGTACGACCTACGGAAATTAGTGCGACTACTGGGTAGGTCCGTCGGTTTGGCATGGAAACCGAGGCCAAGCAAGTTAAGTGTGTGATTCTAATAATGCAAGTTGCAAACGAAATAATAATGACTTTTCAATTATAGGAGCAATTGATCAAAGGGTGACTTGCCTTGCTCAAGGTCTTCACGAAGCTTCACGAATCTTCGAGAAAACCCGCGATCGACGAAAATCCGATAACCGCAACTATACGCAAACAATCGAAAACCTAAACAAAAGACCAAAAGAAAGATCCTATTTAGACTAATTAGTAGTGCCATTAAATAGATCTCAATTTTACGGAATTACTGGAAGTTGAACGGAGTCAAACGGAAGAGCGGTTGGGAAGATATGAATTTTGGAAGTTTAATTTGGATTTTCTGGTCAAGGAAATGATTTATCGGAATTTTCTGGAATACGAGAAATGGTTTATGGGGTTTGAAGAAATAATATTCCCAAGAATATTATTAACAGTCCCTGTCATGCGGGACCAAAGGAAATGATTTGTGGAGTTTTGGAATAAGGAATTGATTTATGGGACAAAGGAAAAAGGATTTATTAAATCCCTGGAAAAAGAAAAGGATGGAGGGATGTCAATCAGACTTGTCTCGGGTGGCATTGGCGCGGCCCGAGGGACTTGCGCAGCTCGGGCGAGCCTAATGGGCCGGCACGGCCTGCGAGGAGGGCGGCCCAATGGGGCGCGGGGGAGAGAGGGACGGCCCGGTGGACCGATTCCACCGCGCGGGGTCCCGGGTGGGGCCCGCTTGTCGGTGGCACGGCCCACGGTGGGATGGGCGCACGCGAGGTGCGGCGCACGGGTTTCGGGTGCGCGGGGCTTAGGAGCGGTGCACCGGTTGGACGGATGGCGGCGGGCCCACATGCAGTCGCACGGCTTTCCGTGGACCGCGCGCACGGGAGGGAAGTCGGAGGGAGGGGACGACTGACCGGCTTGGCCCAGTCAAAGCCGAGGTGGCGCCGACGTGGCGCCTACGTGGCAGCCACGCGGGCCGGCGGGAGGAGGAAGAAGGGGAGGCCGAGATGGACGGCGGACGGCGGCCGTGTTCACCGGAGCAAGCGCGACGGATTTGGTCTTCGGGGAGCACACCGGAGTGACGAGGGCGTCGAGAAGGAGCGAGCCAACGGCTCGGATTTCGCCGGAGGGAGTTCGTCGGCGGTGGAATTCGACAGTGGCGGCCGGCGGCGAGAGAAAGGGGAAATCACCGAGGGGCGACGAGGACTCAATTCGAGGCGGTGAAAGCATCTCCGGGGTTCAAGGAGTCCGCTTCCGGCGTCGGATGGGGCGGAAGAGCACCAAGGAGGGCTGGCGACGAGCGGCGGCCTCCGGGAGCGGGCGGCAACGGCGGCGAGGCCATGCCGGGCGGCGGCGGGTCTAGGGAATGGTTTGGGGAGGTCCTAGGGAGCTCAAGGACGGTGGTGGCGCGAGGTATTGGCGAGAGGGCCCACGGCGGCTCACAGGCGGGCGCGGCGGCGGCGAAGCAGAGCAACGGCGGGGCGGCACGTTTAAGGGGACGAGCGAGCAACCGAATGGCTCGGGGCTTATCCAAAATGACGCAGATGGCGAGAATTTGGGCGAGGAGCTCACCGGTGTGCGGGAACGGTATCGGCGGCGATTTGGGGATGGAAAGGGGTGGAAGGCCGATGGCGGCACGCGACCGAGCGGCGGCGCACGGCGAATGACGCCGAGGCGGCGCGGCGTCGAGGCGAGTGCGCCGGGGAAGAAGAGAGGGAGAGGTGGCGCCCGGAGCTCCTCGTCACGCGTTCACGCTCGCACCGGCTCCTCCGGTGCTCGGCGACGGACGACGACGACGAGAGCGGGACAAGCGGCAACAAGGCGGCGATGGTGGTTCGGTGGTAATGGCGCTACAGCGGTGGAGACTGAAGCGGGGAAATTGAGAGGAGGGACTCGGCCTTATAGGCGAGGAGGAGAGGTCGGTTTGGAGGAGGGAAACCGACATTGGCAGTCAAGGGATGCAAGGGCGACGAGCTGGCGGTCGTCGACGCGTGCAGCCAAGGCGGCGGCAGGTGATGACGCCGGCGGTGTTGGGCAAAAGGAAAAAGAAGGGGGAAAGGGGCTTGGTCCCTTGCCAAAACGAGAAAAGGAGGAGGGAGAGTGAGGAGGAGGAGGAGAGGGAGAGCAGCTGCTTCTCCCACTCTTGGACGGGTGCGGCGTGGAGTGGCGGGGGCCATGGATGACGTCGACGATGACGGCGGCGGTCGGTTTGGCATGGAGCGGGGCCGGGTGGCTGCGCGGCGCAGGCGCGGCAGGGCTGACGGCGGCAACGACCGGCCGGTCGGCCACGCGCGAGCGCGGGAAAAGGCGAAGGCGGTGGCGGGTTCTGGGCGGCGACGGCGGGAAGCGGCGTCGGCGCGGGAGAGAGACATCGAGAGAGAGAGAGAGAGAGAGAGAGAGAGAGAGAGAGAGAAACAGCGAGAGCGAGAGAGACAGAGAGAGCGAGCGACGGCTCTCTCTCTCTCGGCTCACATGCGTGCAACGCACGTGCGAGGGGGGGGGGAGATGATGGGCTGGGAGGGGAGATGGGCCGGGAGAGGAGAATCGGCCCATCCAAAATCACAGGGAGGTAAGGTAGACTTTTACAGAGAAAACTGATTTGGATAGAATTGGGGAGATTTAGGGTTTGGATTCGAATTCAAATTTGATATTCGAACTCGAGGGTTTAGGGATGTATCAAGGGAAACTCAAGGAGAAGTCATGGAAAAGATTTAAAAGGAATACTTGGGTATTTGTTCTCGGGAACATAGGGTGGAGTCAAGGAAAGGATTCGAGGCGGGATTTGAATAATTCTGGATTCGTAGAAGTATTTGGCGAGGATTCAAGGGAAGGGATTGACCTTCGGATTTAGATTTCGGAGACTTGAATCGGAAGAGGAAATTTGAGGCGGAGGATTTTGATTTTGATGAGAGGGAACAACGGGATTTGAATTGAGATCTTGGCACAACTTAGACTCGCACACAAAGAACGAAAATTTTCGCAATTAGGATTTTTGCCGAATTAGTTTTTAACGACCCACGAAAAGCGGAGCGTTACAGATCCACCCCCCTTACAAGAATCTCGACCCCGAGATTCGAAGGTGGACCACACACACGAAACCAAAAAGGATCTTCAGACTTCTTCACAGCTTCAGGCTCTGCTAGTCTTTCTTCAACTTATTGTTGTGTGCTTGCCGCAAAACGGTCTGGTACTCTGACTCACTTAGCATTCTTCATCTTACTGTGGCTCTGCTCTTGCCTGTGGAACCTGTTCTTCTCCTGCTCCTTCAACTTGCTCGAGATTCACAACTTTTCCGTTTGTTTCTACTTGCACATGGTTCAGACGACCTTGTCCGACGGGCGGTGAGGTCAACGAGGCAGAACCACTGTTTGGTGACTTTGAACTTTTTGGTCCAGATACGTTGGGAAGGCTTGTTGTTGGTTGGACTCGTTTTGACTTGACTTTCTAAGGGCAGCACCATGAATAGTGTCCCATCTCATGGCAGATGAAACATTCGACTCCTGCCTTATAACCACGTCTTTTTGAAGGTGTAGGGCATGGTACGGAGTTGCTTCCTTCATGGCTATTACTGTTGATCATTGTGGCTTGCTGACCAGGTTCTGACATAGTCGAACGAGACGTAGAACCGGAACTAGTTGAATGCTGAGATGCTTTCTGATAGTATTGTGCTGGCGAGTTTGTTTTTCGACACAAATCTTCTTTTGCTTGAATCTCTAGGGACATTACTTTGCATCTCTTGTATTCTTGCATCTCTTTCTTTTCTTGGATGTCTTGGCACATGTCGCAGGATGCTTTTGCTCTTTTGTCATCAGGGAAGGTTGAACGTACTGCATTAACATTTGGCGAATTTGGGCTTCCTTGGGGATAGAAGGGCATCCTTGAGGTGCTCATATTAGCTTGTAGTGGTGCATCCATATAGGGTTTTTGGGGGCAGTGTCTCATGTAATGGCCAATTTTGTGGCAAATGAAGCATATGAATCCGGGAACGTGTCTGATCTTCTTTGATTTGAGGGTGGGGGACTTGGGTAGGTTTTGGCAAGATTGCATTGTCTGACATTGTGGGACATCTTGCATGTCAACTTCTGATGGCAAGGTCTTTCTTTTGTGACAACTTCCTTCTTTAATCATGCTATTTTCTCGCGATACGGATTTATTGATTGAGTTCTGAAGGTTGGGGCAATTATTAGCTTGAAGTGGGGTTTTCATCCCTGTAATCATCACATTTAAGAATTCTTTGTTCTTCTCTTTATGGGTATCAGTGCCTTCTACTGATTGTGTTCCTTGTATTTCTGCGGCCTCATTCTTACTCTTGTCTGGATTCACCTTGGGCTGTGGTAGTAGCAGTTGTTGTTGTATAGAAGCCAAATTTTGAGCTATTTCTTGTAGCATCTGAGTCTGATTGGCTAGAATCTGATAAATATCCATTGAGGAGTGTTGATTTCTGGTTGCAACTTCCTTGTTTGGTCCAGGAACAGTATTATCAGTCTTGGCAACTTGGTTGGTGACTTGTTCAGCTAGTTGATTTGGATTTTCTGACAAAGCTGGGTCTTCCTTAGAACCAAGGTAGTTGCGGACACAAGTCTGACAGGTTGGTTGAGGTGCCATCTGCTTCAGAGGGACTGAGATCTGACCAACGCAGAAAGTAGATAAGAAGAAAAGGAGGAAAACAAAAACAATACATCAAAATGGTTTTCGAAATCACAGAAGACATAGGTGGTGTGTTCCAGCCGGTAACCCAACTGGTCTAACACCTGAACACGGACTACCAAACAAAACTCACACACGCACTAGTTCACCACAACTCCTACCGAGCGGGTGACGGTACTAAGGTTAGCCTACCAACAAGGGCTTAACTAAGACTCCTAGAGGCTTGAGCACACCTTTCTTCAACTGGGCGTGAAGACATGTTTACTCTAGGATAAAAGTCAAAACGAACGACTAGCTTCTACCTTTGGACACAAAAGGTTTTTCGCAAAACTAGAACTAAAGGGGACAACGACACCTTAGCTTTCACAAATAGTTTTTGTATTCAGATAATGCCATCCTATTTAGGGGTTTCGATCCTAGGGCCAACTAATGCTCTGATACCATCTCTTGTCACACCCCAATCTGATACCGCCGTAAAACGGCACCTGACAGGAGCGTGTAACGAGCGGAGCGTTACAGACAGTCCCGACCCTCCATTTAGAATGGTGTCTATAGCATTAACTACATTGCCATGTAGGACTTTTAACTTATGTGGCACTATATTAATTAAGAGAGAGTGAAGAAAGGAAGAAACTGGGTCTCATGCAAGACACAGCTTCAACGCGAGAACCTATGCACTAGACACTATCAAGTTTTGCATTGGGAGAGAATAGTGTCTTCATAATAGATGAAGAATAAATATGATTGGTAAAGAAGAGAGATGATGTATTTATTAATGGCCCACTTTAAGAAACCATGGGTTGTAGAGTTTAGTTTCTATTGTGATGTCTTATTGACATGGCACCACAAGACACTGCTTATGGACATTATGGGTTGGGACTGGCCTAATGTCACACTCTACCATGTAAATCAAAGTGACAAGTATTGTCATCATTTTTTTTTCTATTTTGCTATGTATTTATCGATAAATTTTCTCCTAAAAATTTGACACATATAATTACAGTACAATCGTAGTGTAATTACACTGTAACTTGTATGTAATTACACTGTTACTATAATGTACTTTTAAAAATCTCTCCGTAACATGTTATTTCGGTAAAATGGAGGACGTGGGAATAAATCCTCTCACATATGAGTGTGGTGTGATTTTTTTTCTTCCTCACTAGAACAAATCATTTAATAGATCTAACGATTCAAAATTACATGAAACTTACATACAAGTTATATTATAGTTACATTCAAGTTACAGTGTTATTACACTACGATTGTAATATAATTGCATCTGTTAAATTTTTAGGAGAAAATTTGTCAACAAATGTATATGTGATCTTTTTTTTTGGGATTGGGGTTAGGGGGAGGGCATATTATCATCAATTTTGCTGTATTTGCTCAATCTTACGACAGTATTTTAGAAAAGATATGTCGATTTTTGGATCATTGGATTCGCTCCAAGATTTGTGCATGGAGTTGGGGAAGGGAAAAAGGATAAGCACTGAGGTGGTGTTTGGGAAGGAGTTACTAACACCATCTGAGATAGCGCAACTTTTACTCTCAAAACACAATCTACAGACTAATCACAGTGTACAGTGTAAATACATCCTAGCTACACTAATAGATTTTCTTCAATTAAAATATGTCGAGCAAGGGATTGGTAGACCCTTTGCTTAATTGCAACGTTCCATCGAACCGAGAGCGCCAGTGCAGTCTCTGATGCATTACGTGCTTATCTAGTACTGTAGCATAATCATATATTATCATTCTCTTTTTTTCAACTAAATTAGTAACAACTTCTCATTATCTTTTTTTAAAAAATATAATACTCCTAGAAGCTACTTTTATCTCAAAATATAAACTTTTAACTCTATGTTTAACAAAAATATATTTAAATATATAGCAAAAATATACTTGGGCACAGTATTATATTTACAAACGGAGGACGTAATCTGTCTATCCCATAATCGTGCAACAACAATGCACATCCGATCGACTAATCGAGTGCAGGGTTTGAAATTTCGAAATTGGATTTTATGCCGGGGTTACCGAAATTTTGGAAATTTCGAGCCGAAATTATTTGAAAATTTGATATAATTTGAATGAATTTGAATAAAATTTGACCAAATTCAAAAAAAATGTAAAAACACAAAAATTTTGGGCGAAATTTCGAATCGAAATTTCAAACACTGATCGAGCGTCAGACATCGAAGCTCCAAAGCTCATCACTCGTAGCACCTTCATTTTCGTTATCCTCCTCACTGAATTCCTCCACCGGCTGCGTCGTGGGCCACACCGCCAGGTCGTCGTACGCATGGCTTCCTATCACTATTGGCGAGTAGAGCGGCGGCGAGTTCGCCATCAGCTGCGACCAATCAAAGCTCCCAGCTGGCGGCGCCGCCACCTGCACTGCCGACAGCGGCGACGACGGCGCAATATTTTCCCTGACCTCATTGTGCTCCAGCGCCGCCATCGCAGCCAGAGCCGTGGCAGCCGTTTCTCCAGCCACCGGCGGCGGCCTGTTGGCATGCGAGACCGCGAAGGCATACACCTCGCGCAGATCTCTAGTGCGCGCGACAACTGGCAGCGGCGAGTCGGGGAAGTTGAGCCCCGCGGCGTCGGCGGCTCCGGCGCCGCGGAGGAAGACGAAGGCAGCGTCGAATGCCCGCGCCGCCTTCTCCGGCGTGTCGTAGGATCCCAGCCACACCCTCTCGCGGCTGTTGGGCAGCCGGATCTCCGCCACCCACTTCCCCCATTGCCGCAGCCGCACGCCCTTGTACTTCTTCTCCGGCGCCGGCGCCGCCGTATTCTTGGTCTGCATACGCATGCACGAGAGGCTGTGATCCGTGGAAGCTTTAATTGGCCGAATTTAATTTAATTTAAGCCGCCGGTTTGATTTGGCGGGAATGCGTCATCCCAGGATTGATTTATATATGAGTGATAAAGGTGACACGTCGGAGTCAGCGGTGACGTATGTGTATGCGTGCTTACATGTACTGATGTACGCCATTGACTTTTTTTCCAACGTTTGACCATTCGTCTTATTAAAAAAAATATATAATTAGCATTTATTTTATTATGACTTGATTTGTCATCAAATGTTCTTTAAACATGACATAAATATTTTCATATTTGCACAAAAATTTTGAATAAAATAAATGATCAAACGTTGCTCGAAAAATCAACGGTGCCGTATATTAAAATACGGAGGGAGTAGTACATGACACACCTGGTTGTCAGTAATCCCACGTTTTGATGGACAGCCCGAGCTGTAGAGCTTACGGCGTCTAGAACCGAAACTCGCCGACACTTTGACATTCTGCAGGTTGGTCTAGGCTGTCGTTTTACACGGTAGGATGGAACTTGAACGAAATGAAAAGAGGGGTCACTCACTCACTCGATTTAATCCACTTAAGACTAAGCTTAGACTGATATAAATGCTTGAGTTTAGATTTAGGGGATGGTACATATGGTGAAATTTTTCTTGACCTGGTTTTTGAACACCATCTCTCCTGCCTAGCTCCGTCCCCGCTACACGGTGAGAGCACTGTAGTTTTGCTTATGCTTATGAACTAAAACTTAGAGTTGATTTTATGTTTTTTTTCCATCGTAGTTATTTCACAATATTTATTTTTAATCAATAATGATGTGTATATAAAAATTTTACTTATAAATTATGTTTTGTTAATAAATTGTACAGATAAACATATGCATAAGCGAAACAATGGGCGAGTTGGACAAGCAACAGAAACTGCTTGGGGTACTTCCGAGTTCCCACTTCCAAATTTCTACGACAGCAAAAGCCTCTTCTAAAATACATAAGGCTTGGTTCTTTCCTTCAACTCTAAATTTCAACTTTCTTATTTTCCGTTAACATGCTTTTCAAATTATGAAATGGTGTATTTTTGCAAAAGAAAAAAGAATTCTGTATTGAAGTTATTTGACAATGATCTTTGTGCCGAAAATCTCCATCCAAACTGAGATAACGATGCAGCCTAAGCACCCTCTTCTTTTTAAATTATAAGTATTTTTAGATTCTTTAGAAAAAAAATTAAGCAAGTGAAAACATCTCTTTTAGTTGGTTCAGTGATCAAATTTCAATTTTTGTATTGTCAAATATCTCATTGAGTCATTATCAAAAAATTATAGATTTCCGTATATTGAAAGTACGATGGAAATGCTTATACTGTGTGTAAAAATAAAAACCTAGAAATGCTTGCACATCATGCATGTTAATCAATCGGGCCTAAATTCTACATTCGTTGAATGTTTACCTACCCTTCTCGAAGGATATATAGAGATTCTACGCAGTCGTGTTGAATATTCCTGAGGTCTGACTAGGCAATAGTTGTAATTAATTTCATTTCTCAGATGGCCATGAATGATACGTTTTGGACAGCGACACGGTCTCCAAAACACAATTTTGACTTCTTACTTCCATAAAAATATTTATTGAAAAGTGATATATGTATACTTTTATGAAAGTATCTTTCAAGACAAATCTATTTATATAATTTTTACATTTTCAAACTCAACAACTTGAGAGTTATTCATGATTTATATTCCGAAGGTTTGACTTAAACATTGTCCTAAAAGAATTCCTATACGAGTACGACTCCCTCTGGAAGAGTATTTTATTTCCTTTTACCCCAAAAAAAATTAAACATATGCATAGTAGGCACTCGGCACTTTGATCAATATCTACAATAACATGATTGCTACAGTACTCGCACAGAAATCAGATAATGACTTCTAATTTATCCGACGGTCGCTATATTGACAATATAATTACTCACAATTAGTAAACTCATCAACAGCTAGACGTCGGTCGTTACTTCCTCAATCAAGATATATCAACTCAATCTTAGAGGTGTTTATAGGGATAAGGTGAGTGTGCATTCATATAAGTTTGTACACGTTTATACGAGCGACTACATGTGCAATGTGTTTTGAAAAAAAAAAATTAGTAAACCAATCAATACCGCTACTTATACAAGTCAAAAAAATAAATAAATCTTTGGATGCCTGAAGGTCATTGCCATTGGCCACACATATCTGTTCATCAAGCTACAGTTCATGATATAAGCACTAACCCAACTATGAAGAGAAACAATCCAAGAACAGCCAGCAGCAAGCATTTCGACGGCGAGTTGTCCTCGGTTCCTGCGCCGGTCAGGAGCTCCTCCTTCTCCCCTCGAATCCCCGCGGCTTTGGAGATCTGCACCTCCGCCTGGCTCGTCGCCGCCTCGGTCATCTCGATGTTGGCGGTGACGATCTCGATGCACTCACCCTGGTCGTGGACGAGCACCGCGAGGTCCCTGAAGATCTCGTGGATGTCGGCGATCTCCTGCTGCACCTCCAGTATCCCCTGCTCCCTCTCCGCGATGATGGCTTCGTGGAGCTCGATCTCGCTGTCGAGCAGGTTGATGTCTCGTAGCACGGCGAGCTGCGTCTGCTTCTGTTCGGGGAATGTGTGATCGCCATTGTTGTTTATGTGATTGAAGCCCGGAGTTGGTGGCGGCGGCGAGCGGCGAGCGGCGGCGGCGGTTTCTTGCCGCTCGACCGCCGCAATGCGTCGCTCGATCTTCTGGTACTCGTTCACGGCGGCCTCGAAGTCCATGGCCAGCTTGGAGCAGGAGGATACCGACTCGTCGTCGTCGGCGGCGGCGGCGGCCTGCCTGAGCGCCTGGGACGTGCTCGTCGCCAGCCGCTTGATCCCGGCGCGCGTGCCGCGGAGGCGGCCGCGGAGGGAGGGCGTGTCCCTGGGCGTGCCGAGCGCGCCGGCCATGTACCGGAGGGCCTCCACCTTGGTGTTGAGCTGGAACACGCCGTGCGCCACCTCCTGCGCCGGCGGCGCCGCCGGCTGCAGCACGCCGGCCTCCATGTCGCGGAGCAGGTCCTGGAAGCTCATCGCGTCGCGCGCTCGTCTCCTCCTCGACCGGATTAGCTACTCCGCCGATAAACGTGACTGATTAGCATCTGGGTTGGCGCGATTAATTAATTAAACCGGTGGTGGGCGAGGCGTCTGGAACTCGATCGGAATCGGTTTCGGCCATGGCCGCCGGCGCCGGATCGGAATCGAGGAGACGAGTGCTTGGAATCGCATTCGGACTCGCGGCATTAGAAACCAATCGGTGCTAGGCTCTTGCCGTTTTGCCTGAGATCGCGGCTGCTAGCTAGCTGCTGCTCGCCGCGCCTCACGTACGCCGCCGCTGATCGCCGCAGCCTCGCGAGCTGGCCGTCGCCTCCTGCGGTTGTGAGAGGTAAACTCGAGAGTGTTATTATTTGGATTGTTCAAGGGAGAGGCATTGTTCTGGTTTTGGTATGCAACTGTTGCATACTATACTTTGAATATTAAAAAAATCTACCTTTTGTACTCGTATGAAATCAAATTGCAAATTTACTTTTCATATTAATCTTTTTTTTCAAGTTATTGTTGAGAGCAATTTTATTGTCCTTAAGAAAATAACTTAAGTACCTAAATTTACACTATTTTTTTTTACCTCGACGTACTTAGTACATGGTGGTACTAAATTTTATATTAAAAAAGTATGGTACCTTTTGGTATTTTCTTAAGATGTTCTTAAGATGGTAAAATTTGAATTGTACTATGTAATGTCTTTAGCTTGTATTACTACAATTTTATCCAATTTTTTGTTAGTTGTATTTTGGTTTGTACCTTTTCTTTTTTTAGAACTTTGTAATTTGTGCCCAAAGTAATCGGAAACTATTCACCTGAAATTTATTTTTTTCCTCCCAAAGAAAATAGAGTTTAGATTTGAAATTTAGTGGTAATGTATTTCATACCTAAACCTATATCTAGCAATTTTTCATGAATTTAGAGCACTTTCTGATCTGTTTTTCATGGTTTTTCACATATGTGATAGTTTTCACCGGATATTCCCCTTTCTAAAGGACCGTTTTGGTTTGATGTTGTAACGAAATTTGATAGTGTTAAAAGATTTAAGTTTAGTTTGATGTCAAAATCATGTGAAAGTAAAATACATAAACAAACATTAGCAAAATTTTGTTATTATAGAAAATTTGGTTTGTTAGCTTACTAGAATTTTGTCATTACCAAATTTTGGGATAGCTAACAATTCCAAACTAGCCCCCAAAACCTTTTCCTTTAAATGTTTTTTCATAGGGCATTGTTGGGTATCTTGTTAACTAGAATAATTTGGTTGTTGGTTGTTAGAACAGCACATATCCACCTTAATGATGAGAATGACACATTTAGATGGAACCTTCATCAAAAATGGTGCATTGTCCATTCTATCAATGTACTTGGCGTAAATTTTTAAAGGGCATGTGAAAAGGCATAAAGTGTCGTGGAAATTAAAAAAGTACTTTTTATGTGGTATTTGCTTAAAAGGGGTAGTATTGGCCAAAGATAATTTAGCAATAAGGAATTGAAATCATAGTACAAAGTGTCATTTTTGTTTGCATGAAGAGGTTGTCCAACATCTATTCTGTGTCGCTAAATTTGTTTGAAGAACCAACTTTGTTTCATGTGGGTCGAAAACACCACATAGTTTTCTCAGGTGTTTGGGAATTGGTTGGTGAAGATGAACTCAAAAACCAAAAAAATATATTTTGATTGGAGCGTCTATTTAATATTGGGCCCTATAACTTAGTAGGAATGATATGGTATTTGACAAGACTCCAATTAAATTTTATATGCGGGTATTATTCATAGCAACGTACTGCAGATTCAGTTCTGGGGCCAACTTCAAAGTAGTGAATAGGACACGGAGGTCATATGCTCCGCATGCTAAAATATAGAGTCAATCATTATGTAATTTTTTATCATCTCTGGATGAATATTTAGCAATATATTTGAATTTTGAATAAGTTGCTTATTTTCTTTGGTTGGTGTCTTTGTGTCGTCTTTTCATCTACCTTTGTTTTATTCTGTCGTACTTGGGCTTGGAGGTAAAAACTTTATTATAAGTGAGCTTTAGTGGAAGCAATGGCCAGGTTTAACATCCATTATCGAAATAAAAAAAAGCCCAAAAACCATTTGCAGTTAGCTTTGCCCTCACAAATCACAACTCCCTCCCTACCACCCACTCCCTCTCCCACATTTTCATGTCCTTCTGCATGCATCCTCCACATCAGGCTAACCACCCTCGACGTTTCTCTCCCTCGATTCACGGCAACCTCTCGGAGCGTGGTCGCAGCAACGGCCGCGGCGTTGGTGGCAATGGAACGCCCAATCTCCATGCTTCTTCTTGCTGTCGAACACCAGATCGCAGGAGACAAGAATCAGGTGAAATCTTGCTGCAAACCATTGGCTTTTTGTGTGTCGATTAGATTGCAGAAATGTGCACGCTGATCATCTGAATTTTTCTTGGCGTTTTTTTTTGTCATCCTGATCCAGTGAGCATGCATCATGTCGTCCAACATGTTCGGCAAGAAAGGGTGGGACTCGAATGGTGAGGGATAGCTCATCACTTGTGATTATTCTTATTGTTTTCAAAGAGAATTTGTTATTGAGTTCTAATTTGGATTTGCATTATTTGCGATAGGGATGGATACATCTGGTTCTGTCTGCAGAAGTTCTTCAGGTAATTTGATACGACACTATGAACCGAGAATATGATCATCTTTGAGATCACAACCATGAGAAAATGAAGACCGATTTGAGCAGTTTGTTCTTTTCTTTTGACTAACCCATCTGGATTTTCAGATATCAATTACATTAATCAACGGGCAAGATTGAAGAGTGCGAGCCTAAACTGTGTGGGTTCGCCGCCAAGGAAGAACAACAATGCTACACAGTACCGGTAATGTGAAAATGCTTTCTCATTTTGTTCTGATCTGAATCTTGATGTTTGCTTAATAATCCTCATTGCAAAAGGTAACATGGTGATCGATGACTGAATTGGAAATTCTTGCAGGATGTTTGTTGCCACATGGAATGTGGGAGGAAGAACTCCTAATAAACGACTTAACCTTCAAGACTTTCTGCAGGTTGAAGAATCTCCTGACATCTACGTCTTAGGGTACGGAAAAACTTGTCCTTTTTCTAAAATTTTCTCGTTGATATTTGTCACTTTCATATCATAAATCTTTCCTTGGCAGCATATTACTTCGGTAAATTTCTAATAAAAAAAAAGAAAATTGTTTTAATCTCTCAAACGGACGTCCCCTCGCTTATTCAAATACTATATATTCAAATAGTTATAGAAAATCTTAGAAAAAATTACCAACATTTATACAACATACATATACTCACTTAGAAAATCTTAAGTCTAAATTTAACTCAGCCATCGAGAAATTTTAAAAAAAGAGAGACAAATCTAGCGTATGAACAGTACCTACTACCTAGATTATCTTTTTTTTTTCTCAACTTGCAGATGAATTTGAACTTGATTTTAGTGTAGTCGTAGATATTGCTATACTTTTCATTATCGTTTTTTAGTAACTTTTTATGACCATTTGCATTAAATTCGATTGAAGATGTTATATGAGGGACAATCCAATCCACTCGAGGAATTAGAATCCATTCGAAAAATTGATTTTGATTGTCAACATCTTTAGGCATGTGAGGTGTGCCAAATTCTGAATTTCTGACGATACATGAGTACTAGGTTTCAGGAGATTGTCCCCCTGACCGCCGGCAATGTGCTCGTCCTCGAAGACAACGAGCCGGCGGCGAGGTGGCTGGCGCTGATCCACCAGGCGCTGAACATGCCCCAAGAACCGGCCGACGGCGACGAGCCATCGCCTTTGACGCCGCCGCCGTCGTCGTCGACGACGACGTCGGAGTCGTCGAACGGCGCCCGGACCCGGCGGCGCGACGCCGTGTCGAGGTCAGCCAGCGGCAACCTCTTCTTCCACACGCCGTCGCTCAAGATGCTCAGCAACAGCTACCGCGTCGACAGCGCGCTAGTCAAGACGTGCAACTGCTCGCCGGAGCACTCCTCCGTGCGCCGCCGTGCCGCGGAGGTGCGCGAGTCCGTGTACCTCGCCGACGCACCCGCGCCAGCCGGCGAGACGGCGGCGCCAGCTGCCGACGAAGACGACGCGCCGACGACGGAGGCGCAGTGCGAGGCAGGATGCGGCGGCGGCGGCGGCATGAGCTACTGCCTGATCGCGAGCAAGCAGATGGTGGGGCTCTTCCTGTCGGTGTGGGTGAGGAAGGAGCTCGTCGAGCACGTCGGCCATCTCCGGGTGGACTGCGTCGGGCGCGGCATCATGGGGTGGCTCGGCAACAAGGGCTGCATCGCCATCAGCATGACGCTGCACCACACCAGCCTCTGCTTCGTCTGCAGCCACCTCGCCTCCGGCGAGAAGGAAGGCGACGAGCTGCGGCGCAACGCCGACGTCGCCGAGATCCTCAAGAGCGCGCACTTCCCGCGCGCCTGCCGCCCGGCGCCCGCCGCCGCCCGCCGCGTCCCCGAGAGGATTCTTGACCACGAGTAAGCAAAGCTAACTAAACTTCACCTCCACAATCTTACACTGACAGAGTGACAAATATACCCTCCCTTCAGTTCATAGGACGTTTTTTTTTTACTTTGGTCTAAATCAAACTGACAAAGTTTATAAAAAATATAGTAACATTTTTAATCAAGATAAATTTATTATAAAAATATATTTAATTATAGATTTGATAAAACTAATTTAGTAATATTCCTCCGTTTCACAATATAAGACTTTCTAGCATTGTTCGTATATATTTAGATGTTAATGAATCTAGATATATGTATGTGTTTGGATTTATTAACATCTATATGTATGTGGGTAATGTTAGAAAGTCTTATATTGTTAAACGAAGAGAGTACAAATATTACTATATTTGTCTATAAATTTAGTCAGATTTAAAACCGATTAACTTTGACTAAAGTCAAAACGTCTTATAATCTGAAATGGAGGGACGGATGGAGTACTAAAAAATCTTGGATTAATTGCTTCCATTTGCAATCTCAACCAGCCGAATGATCTGGCTCGGCGATCTGAACTACCGCATGTCGTTAAGCTACGACGAGACAAGAACACTACTGGAGGACAACGACTGGGACGCTCTACTGGAGAAAGATCAGGTATTCACGTGACTAAAAAATCTTCAATCTTCCATTTTCAGAATCTGAACTGCTGAATTTCTTCAGACAAAATCGCTCAAACTCTGATCAATTGATTGCGTGCAGCTGTTGATCGAGAGAGAAGCGGGGAGAGTGTTCAGAGGCTGGAACGAAGGAAAGATCTGCTTCGCGCCGACGTACAAGTACACGCACAACTCCGACGCGTACGCCGGCGAGACGGCCAAGTCCAAGAAGAAGCGGAGGACGCCCGCATGGTACGCCGGTCGCCGGCCGGCGGCGGCCACCGCCGGCCGTTGGTACGATACAGCCATGGATTCCGGCCGTCGAGCATTTTTTTTCCTGACCACTTCCCATGGCAGTGTAGGTGCGACCGGATACTGTGGCAGGGAGACGGCATCGAGCAGCTTCAGTACCTGCGCGGAGAGTCGAGGTTCTCCGACCACCGGCCGGTCTGCGGCGTGTTCGCCGTCGAGGTGGACGGCGGCGATGGCGACGGCGGCGGCGCCGCCGGCAAGATCATGAAGGGTTACTACTCCCTCAACGCCCGGATCGGCGGTGACAGATCGCAGTGTCACCAGGGTGACGTGTCGTGAACTGATTATATATTTCATCCCCTTTTGCAAGTTTGCAATGATAGGGTCTTGTGTATAAGAAGGTTTATTACCAAGAACAGAGGATATTGTAGATACTAGTATCTGACAAGAATCCCATGACTGAAATTAGTACGAGTACTGACTAATTAAGAATACAGTAATTTTCGTAATTTGTAGAACCTGTCTAGCTGTATGGTTATTTTTGTCCACTTATATGAACCCCTTGGGCAGAGAAAGTTGTCTCGTATATATGTATAGACAAATTATGTACTCGTTATATTGTTATATTTTTTTCACTACTCCTTAATATTTATATCAATAACGGTTGCACAGAAATATCAATGATGCCATATGTCAGATATAACTACTGCACTGCACAACAATAATCGTAGAGAATCATATTCCCATCAACGATAATTACTTGTTTAAAAAGAATATATGATCCTAAATATGACCTATAGGATAAAATCGATTTTATATTATAATAACTTTATAAAAATCTAATAAGTTATGATGTTACGAACTTACGATTGAACTTTTCAGGGCATATTTGCGTATATCAGTTTCTTGTTTTTTAAAACTGAGTGTTTGAAAGGTATCGACGCCAAAATTTAATCAATTATTGTCGTAAATGCTAAGTTTATAATTGAATGGAGTGAATATTGTGTCTTTCGTTAAAAAAAAAGAATGGAGTGAATATGAGTTTGGTTAAGAGTAAATTTCATAAAACTACAATACTTTAAAAAAATTATCGTAAAACTACAAATTTAAACCACTTTATCACAAATCTACATATTTAGTAACAAAATTATAAAAAAAACTAAAGGTTTAGAAGTTTAGCACCAATTTAGTCACAAAACTACAACATTTTACAACTTGAAGATAACATTAGTACTAAAGATTTAAACTCTAAAATTTGTAGTTTTTTATGATTATATTAAAATTAAATCTTTAGTTTTATGATAGTTGATAGTAAATTTATAACTTTGTGATAAATTTGATGCTAAATCAGTTTTGCGATGTAACGTCTTAAATATATAGTTTTACAATAGTTTGATCACAGATATATAGTTTTGTGAAAAAAATGTTTTTTTATGTTATGGTATTCACACTATTTCAAACACCTGATAATAATTTATAAGAGCACTGCTACACGTACTAATTTTTTTTTTACAAAACTCTTACAAACAATGATCTCAACCATTTGATTTAATTAGATGGAAGTTATAGAAAATCTAGATGTACTCACAGCGTGACACGTAGTGTTAGTAAGAATTTAGTAAGATAAAATTTAGTATGTATAGACTTTTCCTATTTATAACTACAACTTAGTAACCCAAAATAGAGTACTTAATGTGTTTGTCAAAATGACTCACCGCAGTGCGTATACAGATATGGTGTACGTGTGTGCATTCACATGGGTGAGTGTGCAAGTGTGATGGGAGCCAACGTATGTAGTTGTATTAAAAAAAAACTCACCGCGAGCAAATAACCAGGCAGAAAAGCCACTCAAAATAATAATAATAATATTGTCCGTCCCAAAATATAAACATCATAGTTTCAAGTCAATCATTTTTTAACTTTGACTATTAATAGTAAAAAAATAAAAAAAAGAACAATCAAGTAAAACTAATGTTACCAGATTTATCATTAATTAAACTATCATAATATACAACTTTTTATATTTAAAATATTTTATTTTATAGATATTATTTATTAAAATAGTATCTCGAATACTGTTTCGAAGTTTAAAATTTTATTTTGAGAAGGAGGGAGTAGTAAACAGGCAAAGCAAGTTAACAACCGCCCGTCAATGGCCGGCGGCGACCAAGCAGCGGCCAAACCCCCAACAACCTTGACCTCCGCCCCACTGCCGCCGTTCGCCGCGGCTCGGTGCTCGCCGGCGGTGATGGCGGCTTGGCCCAGCCCGTGGCTGCCTCTCCTCCTCGTCGGCGCCCTGCTCGCCTTCGAGGACTGGCTCGCCACGCCCACCTGCTCCGGCGGCTCGACCGCCCCCGCCCCCGCCCCCGCCCCCGCCCCCGGCGACCTGAGGGTCATGATGGTTTCCGACCTGATGCTGCTCGGGTCGGACGCCACCTACGCCGACCGCTTCTTCCGGAACCACGTCATGTCCAAGCTCTTCGCCGTAAGTGATCAGATTCAGATTCGTGCGCTCCCCAAGTTTGTATGAACTTTTGTGCGTCGGGGACTCTAGCTAGTGAAGTTAGATGAAAGATCGTTGTCTGTCCTTCGGTGGATGGCATTGTTACTTTGTTAGATAGATGATGGGGCTAGCTTGGGAAAAAATGGGTAATTTCATTTTTCAGGTGCATTCGACTTCTATTGCTGAATGGAAAATGTAGATATTACCAATGTTGAGGTTAATTATGCTCTGTTTACCTGTTTGTTTCACTGGTTTATGCTTAATTGCTGCATTGAAGCGTGCAATGTTCGAAAATTTGGTGCCTTTAGGTACCTATCAAGATTCAAGACATCGGAGTAATTCCACCAAAAGCTACTTTTGAGTTTTGACTATACCAATATTTGAGATGGAAAGTATATTGTCGATAAGTGTCAAGCTAAGTTATGTTGCAATTGCACGCTATAGGATTATTTACTTGCATAGCTGCATGTCTTGTTAATCCAGCTGTGTATAAAAGGTTTATGTGCTATGTTATTTTTTCCCCAGAAATCTATTGAAACACTTAGGCCAGATATGATTGTAGTCCTTGGGGACATCTCGGCAATGGGTTTTCAGCTGAAGGAAAGCAAATGGATAGACGTTATTGACCAATTCAAAGGGATATTGGGGCAATACTCTGACCTTCCTCTTCATATTGCCTTAGGCGATAAAGATGTAGGAGGATGTGCCAACTTGGATGACAGTTTTGTCCACCATATGGCTAAGCATTTACCAGGATTGGATTCAAGTGGTTGCGGTACTTTTGAAATTGGTAATGTCAGTTTTGTGTCACTTAATTCAGTTGCGCTGCTCTGTGGAAACAATCCCCTGCGGATCAGCGTTGAGAAGGTTATAGAGAAGGAAAACAACCATTTTCAACAGAAAATGGTGAATGAAGCAGGACATTTTTCTTTGGGGAGTATAGAAAGAGAGGGTTTTAATTGGAGGCAAAACAGCATGGAATCAGGGTCAGGCCCTGTAGTTTTGCTCCACTTTCCACTATATAAGTTTTCAGAGGGAACTATTTCAGAACCTCCGGTCTCCTCAAGTTTGAAAGAAAGGTATGTTTTGTGGTTTACAAGTAGAGACTTATATCCTTTCTGCCTTTTTAATACCAATGGTTTTATATCTCACTTGTTTCTTTCAGTTGACAAAATCCAAAGAGAATTTGGTATATTCTGACAGATACTTTTGGGCTTTACCTATCCAGTCTTTAATTATTTTTTTTTTGATTTTCCTGACTTTGAAACTGTAATGTCATGAAATACCCAATGTAGTGTAAATCTGTGATTGTCGTCTACCTGCACCTTCTAAATGTTGTAATTATTAATATACTTTTTTTTCAATAAGTAAATTATTATTATACTAACATACACTACTTCTACAGAGGAGCTGATGGCAGGAGGTCTGATCAACTACATGCCCTCCCTGCAAATTCAACTCAATATGTTCTTCAAGCGCTTAAACCAAGGTTAGTCCCTATAGAATTCGGTGTGTACTAAACCAGAAAAAATTATTCAACTAAGCTATCTGTACCTGTGTAACGGTTGGCTTTATTTTCAATCATCTGATGTTCCCGTTTATCAAAATTCTTAGTGAGTTGTTTTCGAGAAAAAATTCTTAATGAGTTGCTTCCTTCAGAAATACACCTGTAGTTCTAAATCCAGATCACATCTCTGTCTCCACAGGATTGTATTTAGTGCCCATGATTGCAGTTTCTCAGATTATACTCACTATGATGGGACACGGGAGGTAGCAGTGCCAGCTATGACATGGAAAACCACAGGAGTGCCTGGCTTTGTCATTTCTACATTTGGAAGGAAAGGAATCATGACTGTGAGGTATTGTTTGATAGTTCCAGAATGGTATGTGATGGCAGGATATTCAGTATTCTTGTTCCTAACAGCTCTGTCTGTAAGATTGTCACATTGGATGTGAAATGAAATATCAAATCTTATTTTCAAGGTATGGTTAGTTCTTATGTCACTTTAATATGGGTGTTATGCAAGTCCATTACTCCATTTCCTTGATAATGTTTTTCCAAGTCCAGTGACAGATTCTCATTCGCTCCAAAATGGTTTTTTTAGGCCACTCCAAGTTCACCGTTAAAAAACTGAGAAGATAAAGTTTATCTCAAGCTCTTTTCTGACAATGAACTGAGATCCTTGATCTGTGTCATGCTAGTGACTGCTTTACACAAGTCGAGGACAGGAACTTCAGAATCTTGCCAGGGCTAGTTGTGCTATAAGATCTTGATTTCAAGCTCCCAGCTCAATCTGGGAGACCAGCCATAGGTGACTACCATCAGCTATCCAGCTGTGGAAAGTACTGCTTGCTGGCCCAGAGAAACCCCTACACTAAAGGAGGTCACAACACTGTTGGTACGGGTACTAAGAAGACAGCCTTCTTGCTCTTGCTGCATATGAACTCTGGAACTGTGAGATGCTTGGGTTGACTCTGCCCTGCTGCTTTCCTGGGCAGCAAGGCAGCCTCTCCACCTATTCTGCTTCTGATAAACTTTAGTTCCTTTGACACATTTGCATGAACATACGATGCCATTTGGATGCCCATCTCCAATGTAGGTCTGATGCGTTGTCAACAAGTAAGTGCCATCTAAATCTTGAGCTGTTAGCTGGATTATTACATCTAAACATTGTGTGCATTGAGTATTTGGGCCCAACAGCTAACAATCATTTTTAACGTGCAGCTCAGGCATTGCATTGAGTTACAGGTGAACATAGCCCAGCCCATATGGTGTGTTTGGTAACTTTGGAATATATGCACCAAGTGAATTAGAAACATGGGAATATTTCAATCATACATCGCAGATCAAAACAAGGAGAAAACTTGAGGTCTTACCTCAGGTTGGTTTTATCTCTAAAATTGCCTAGATGTAGAATTTGTGAGGGCTAGATGTTTTTTTCTCTATAATCAGTTGAAGGTTTTGGAGGTTTGCTTCATGTCCTTTCTTTTGTTTTTTATGCATTATGTGCGTGTTGCATTTGTCATGTGCATCCTTGATACAGACACCTTCCATTATCTAACAAGCAACAGGCCTTAGATGACAGGCTCTATGTGGAAAGCTTTTTTCTGCTGTGTGTAAAGTGAACTGATTTTCTCAAAATTTTGCTAAGTTTTTTTTTTTTACTTCAAAACAGGCCTAATGGCCAGGCACACAAACTTAGAAAAGATCATTGTTCCCAGCAAAAACTGGTATTCCAATATTTGTTGAATTCAGTTTTCCAAGAGTACATCCCCCTCAAACTCCATGTCATATAAAACTAATTGGCGTATGTATAACATTGCTGTGCACATTATTAAAATCTAGTCAAATAACTCTATGAGCAGTGCTCTTTAAGATATTAAGGTTGCTAATGACATGGTGAGTATATGATTGCAGTGACCTAGATTTGAGAACGAACGAAAGGTACTTCCAAGTGCTGCTCCAGATTCTCCCTAGAGATCCATTCCAAAATCGATGAATATGTGTGCAAAAAAAACAACTCAGTAGTGTAGAGGTGAAAATATTCAGCAAAAACAAGGGAGATAATCCAAATATCCTTACAACTCAGTAGTGTTTTTATTTTCACCTCTACAACTCAATCATACACAAACTCCCTTGCAAGTCAATTTATCGTCTAACTTCCCCCCAGTATCCCCTTTTCATCTACTTTACCTAGTCAGTTCAATTGGTAGTGACCCATGGGCCTCCTGCGCTCGAGAGGCTGGTATCGTAGAAACTATAGCTGGCGCACAACTTAGCAAGTTGAGCCATCGTGTTTTGCGATCATTACCTTGCTCGTGCGGGACTTGGGAAAGGCGGAAACTCGAAGCGAGAAAGGAGGTTTTCAAAGCCCCGCCACGTTAAAGGCATATGGGGTATGGGATATTGAAATAAGAAACTTAAACAATGAGGAGAAATTGATGGAAACAAAATAGGGGGAGTTAGAAAAGAAATTGACTTGCGTGGGGTTTTATGTACGAAATTGTGTAGACCTTGACATGAGCTTGTGTTTGCGCGCAACTTGACAAATGATCCAAGTGTTTTAAGAATTTTTTTTTTCAAAACAGCATATTTCACATTACACCAGGTAAATTATTCTAATTGTGCAAGACCGTGACACAAAATAATTGAAATCTGACCTTGACACGGACCTCGTGTCGCACATGGACATGATATTGAATAATTCATATATATAGAAAAAGTTACAACCTTAATGTGCAAGTCTCGACATTCGCACCTGTGTGAGATTGTTGAATATGCACCAACGTTGAAAACATGAATTCAAAATTTTAAGAATCATAAACCAAATGTATATATATAAAAAAAGAACGGAAACTGATCAATGGGGGATGAGAGCATAAGTTACCCCCTACATTTTTTTACACATGCATTAACTAAACTTAGAAAATAAATAAAACAATAAGTTTTTTCTAGAGATTACAGAGAATCATCAATAATAAAGGGAAAATGTACACAACATGGTGCGGGGGGCATTTCGTAAAATATATCGTGGGGATAGCTGGGCTGGCAAGGCTTCATCCAGGCTGCATATTTTGGATCCAATGGCCCACGATCGAGTTTGCAAGTTTTCATGTAGGATGTAGTTTCCACTACATATTTTCCCCACTAACCAAACACCACCCAAAAGTTTTAACTCTTTCACAACATTGAATTACAAATATTTATTCCACCAGAATTCTAGCTTACATAAAGTAAATTTTTTATTCCACCGCAATTGTAATTTACATAGTCATAAATACAAATACCGATCCTAAATATAAACTGTAGATACATGAGTACCATCACAACCATCACAATATCACAGTAATACTCTACACATCGGGCATCACGGATCAATTCGGACCGCTTTATTGATGCAATGTGGGTGAAAGAGATGTAAAATTACTCGGTGATGCAGATGGTGCAGGAGTGCACATCATCCATAATTGTCACCCCCTCTTGTAGGTACAAGGTATGTGACAACCAGTAGATGCAAAAGGCGTATAAGGATGTACCGTCACAGTCTTCGCACAAGGAAGATGGCTACGACTATTCCGATAGCACCAACTATGACTCCAATGATGCAAAGAAATACAATCCATGCAGTACCTTGAAAAGCGAACCTACTAAAGTGTCCAGCCATCCTGTAATAATAGTACAATGTATGTTAACTTTAAATTTTGTAGTAGATCTAATTTCGCAAAACTACAGCTACTTTATCTATATTATCGTGAAAAAAATATAGAATTGGGATTTTGGATCAAAGCAATATATATTTTACACTACAGTATAAAAAAACCATACTTTTTAGCCTTCACCCTTACACGACACTGGTAACTAACACTACTATTAATTATCTGACAAGTAGTTCTAGCACATAAAACTACAGTTTTTGCGAGACTATAGGTAGGAACCACTTGTCAGTTAATGGTGTTGGTAACGATAACTTGAGCGCAAAATCTATAGTTCTCCGATACATGCTCTTAAATATGTTGTTTTATTTAATATTTAGACAAATTATCTGAAGTTTTGTTAAATTCACTCAAATTTCTAAGAGATTCATGCAGAAAGGGAATAAAAGAACATATGATAACAATTAAGAAAATAGCATAAATAACTTTTCTGCCCTTCATTTATACTACATTGCATAGACAAAGCATTACTTTGTGAGATGGATATCGTTTATTTGCCGAGAACATGCTAGAAAAAGACTAAAAGTAGCGTTTACAAGTTCTAAAATGATATATAGATTTTAAAAAAGAAACAGGAAATTGAATGGTATCAAAAGATTAACTTGATGTTGGAGTTATTAGAGATACAATTTATACCAAATAATCAAATTGTAAAGTCGATTTTTGGTCCCTAAAGTATTATATATCCGTCAAGCATATCGGCAAAAATATTCAATTGATCACGAGACAACAAAAACTTACCTGTAAAGCCGTCGCCTGCCTCACGGCTTCTTGGTGCCAGGCCGCCGGGGCTCTGTGTCGCTGACGACGTAGATGGCCGCTAAGAAGAAGACGAATAAGACGACGAAGACGAAGACGATATGGCCAAAATGCCCGATATTTGGACTCGTTGATCTGATCATCTTAGTTTTCCAAACGGAGCGTGAGATGTGCTCTTTGTTGGCTAGACAAAGACAAATAATTAGATGCCGCCGTGCCGTAATTACTTGTGTTTAGTCCTCGTTAGCATACAGTGGCGAAGCCAGGATTTGAGGTTAAGAGTTAGGAGGGTCTGGGGATAAGGATAAGCCATAAGACCGGATAACCAATATCGATAGTAAAGGAGGCCAAATAGTCACCATAAATAACAATCAATGCATAAATTAATCCTTAAAAAAACTTGAATTTCAGCTCTTTCATAATATTGTTGAAAGTTTGGAACTATTCTTTATTACTAAATCCTTTCAATGTGAACTACTTAATAATCTCACAAATAAGTATCTTATATTTTACTTTGGAAAAAGATGAGAAACTACAAACTAATTTTCTAGGGGGGGCGGGGGGGTTGGCCCCCTCCGGCACCCCCGACAGCTGCACCCCTAGCATATAAGCAACAAATGCTCTATTTGCTGTGGAACATCGTTGTTGCTGCATCACTCTATTTTATCTCCCCAAGCCCAATAAGCCGTTTTCCTTCTCATTTCCTTTCAGAATAAGTTCACTTTGACTCCCTTAATTAGTGACCTCTGATCCGTATCCCTGAACCACAATATCAGATATCTCGACCCCCTCCCCTAACTATTTGAATCGGTGCAATTTGACTCACTCGGTAGTTTTGGAGGGTGATTTCGCTGACGTAGCGCCTACGTGGTAGTATTGACTTGGTCTAGGTTACACGTGGCGTTGACGTGCATTAGAATTAAAAAATATGTGTGGGACCCACTGACATGTGGGGCCCACCTAAATCATGCTCTCTCCTTTTCCTTCTTCCTCCTTCCTTCTCTCTCTCTCTTCCCTTTGGCAAACCGCAAGCGTGGGACGGGGGCCAGCGAGAGCGGGATCCCCTTTGCGAGCTCGCGACTTCGAGACAGCAGCGAGCAGCAGAGACGAGGGCATGGAACAGCGGCGGAGATGCGGGAGTGGCAACGGCCCGATTCCCCAGCTGCCGCCGCTCCCGCCCAGATGAGCTCGACGTGCGGCGCCCACGGCGGCCGGGCCAAATGGATGGATGGATGGATGGGGTCATGGTGGTAGCCGGCGACGGGTGGCACAGCTCCTTAACGCCGCCTCCCAACCTCCTGTTGCCGCCGACTTCTGCTCCTTACCACCGCCTTCCGTTCCCTCCCCGCCTCTGATGGCCTCGCCGCCCTGACCACAGGAGAGAGGGGGGAGGCCGCTCCTCGCCGCTGCCTTCCGAAGAGGATGGAATGCGGCGGCCCGAGCGGTGACGGCCAACGCGGTGCTCGGCAGTGGCGAGGGAACGACACCACTGTGGTTGGCCCTATGCCGGTAAGCAAAATGGGATCGATTCTAGAGCTTGGCTCTAGGGTTTAGGGTCTCCCTAGCATCGACGTCACTGCTGCCAGTGCTTCCTGCTTCCTTCTTCCTTCCAATACCAGGGGCGGTGGCACAATCGGATCAGAAGGAGAGGGTGGATAGATGGTGAGGCGCCGTGGAGCCAAATGGGGACAACGAAAGGAAGGGGGAGAGCGGCGAGGAGCCATGACGGTGAAGGGGGCGTACCATGGATGGCGACACGAATGCCGCGGGGGCCATGGGCGTAGAGGTAAAGCCGTTCACCATGGAAGGAGGTGGGAGGCGTAAACCAGGGGCTGAGGCAGATGCGGACGCCAAAGCTCATACCATTGGCACAGCCGCCGCGTCGTCATCGCCCACGGTGTCTCCACGGTGGAGAGGGATCATGTGGTGACGCAAGAGGGATCAACGGCAACCTTAGAGCATCACTAAGAGTTTTTTAATATCATTCCCAATCTTGAAATTTGAGGATTTTCGGTCAAAAGCATATTCCAACAGAGTCCCTACCCGCACTCTCGATCGATCTAACTCCCAAATCCGGGTTATTCGTTCTCCACGTCTAGGGAAGAGGTTTTGCTCCCAACCCATCAC